TTATTTCTTTTGCATAAAACACCCATATGGGTCAAGCAATACAATTCATCATTTAAATAAAAAACAGAGAACAATGACTGTACATATACAATAGGTATGAATAATTTACTCCTTATATGTGGACCTTTTATTTTTAAATTCTACCGTTCACGGTATCTCAGTCAGTAGAACGCTCGCTCCGTGATCGGGAGGTCGTGAGTTCATATCTCGGCCGCGACTGACCTAAAAATGGGTAGCAACTGTTCCTTCGCCATGCACTCGGCATTTTGAAGTGAAAGTTGTGGGTCCTTCGGATGAGACCTTAAAAACCGAGGCTGGCAGGCGTTGGCACGATAAAGATCCCTCACTGCTCAATGACCCTGAGTGCCGAGTAAAGGTCAAAATTTGAAGCCCTTCACCGTTATACGAGTGAAAAATTCTCGAATGGGACGTAAAACAACATTCAATCAAGCAATCAATTTCTTAATTCTAATGATTGTTTTATAAAAGACCACAGAGTACATGAATTACTCGACATGTGATTACTTTATACAGCCCATTATCATGTAATCAATATTACCAGAATATAAAAATCTCAGCTATCTGTTTTTCTTAAGGGTCCTTTATTATTGTTTTAAGGAAAAAGAACAATTATAGTAGAATCGTTCTTAGAGCTGTTTTGAATGCATGAGATGAAGCATTTATCACAACCTTCTGAATTTAGTGAATGTTTATACTAATACTTTGATAGGACATAATCAATAAACGGAAGAAGAAAATGACTTCTTGTTCTGAACCATTCCAGTCATTTACAAGCAATTTGTGGTGGCTTGTGTAATTAGGTCCTCTAGGAATTAAGAATTGCGACATTTCGTCGTGCCAAAGTCGATCGAAAAAAGAATAGTTCCATCCAGAAGACGGACAGCAGGGTGTCAATTAGTCAAAGATGTGATTAATTGATGAAATGAAGGGAGAAAACAAGAAATGTTATCTTCGAGATAAAAGCATTTTTTGTCTCGCAAAAAGCTAGGGACAACACTCAGCAAGTGCTACAGTGCAAATATTGGAGTGTTTTCAATCAACGATAGCGTGATAACGTTTATCCTGTATGCGAGACACGGGAAAATTGAAAACAATAAATCTACCAAAAGTTACGCAGTTCTTCAGAAAATATCCTCTTTTCTCCTGTAGCTGTCGGGGAATAAAGCCTCGAGGTCTTCAGATTTTGATGGAAAATCTAAATATGGAACAGCCTGAAGGTCGCATTTTTTTTTTTGAATATAAAACCTCTAGTCAAGATACTAATAGGAGTCTCTAGGTAATTTCAACCATATAAAAAAATTACATCAATAAAATTGTGTTTTTGAACTCATTTAAGAATTATCAATTGTTTTATAACTTGATGGTATTTGTGGGTAATTAAAGAGAGGTCTTGAGGAATGCATAATTGGGTATTTTTCTATTGATACAAAATAATGTCTTCAGTTCTAATTCTTTTCTCTTACCATTTCCAAACTGAAGGAAATTGCAGTTTTTCATATATATATATATATATATATATATATATATATATATATATATATATATATATATATATATATATATATATATATATATATATATATATATATATATATATATATATATATATATATATATATATATATATATATATATATATATATATATATATATATATATATATATATATATATATATATATATATATATATATATATATATATATATATATATATATTATATATATATATATATATATATATATATATTATATATATATATATATATATATATACGAGGTATGCAAGCCCAAACAATTGAATGCGAAACTTGAGACGCTAATGGACAAAAAGGGGAATACAAGGTTGCTGTCTCGTGACATTCGTTCATTCATACATGGAAAAGTTAACCATTGCCTCAGTACGAAAAGAGTTTATTTATATTAATATGAAATAATGACATATATTGATATCAATAAAAAATTCCTTAAGGACAGTTCAATCTATAGTCTTACAACTAAATTAAAACAACACGAAATGTAACCCATATTCATTAAACATTTTGTTTGTATTTATGTTTTATTTTAGATTGTATTTTAATTACATGTACATAAGAACACTCTATAATTATCCTCATTAAGTGAATAATAATGGAGAAAGGGTATAATAAAATAAATAAATAAATGACACTCTGTTAAATTATGTAGTTAAGCATCCTAATCCCTTGAGCTTTAAAACATGATGTTCTCAGAAGTTTGTAGTTCTGTCTGTGTATATTTCAATATCATTTTGATTATGACCTGTATACCATACGTTGATACATTATTACAAGCTAAAAGATAATATTTAATATATGATAAATTCATTTTAATATTTACAGCGTTTGATGGCTTCTTAATTGTATTAAACATATTACAAAAGTAAATAGAGAGCAAATTGTGAAAAACTTGAATCTTTTAAAACCAGTATCAGGAATTGATTAATTTAAGAATATATGTCTTTTAAAAGAGTTTATTGATTTACATGTATATTTTCATCTTTTAATTTTTCGGCTTCTGGTTTTCAAGTGTCCCATTACGAACAACCCATTAATTTAAAATGTATTTGATAAAAAGAAAGTATTCTTTTAATTTTTTTTTCAAAAAAGACAAGATACCTGATCTCACATCTCGAGGTTTCAAGTGTCAGTGAGTTTGTCGGTGTGTTCTTTGGTTTGTCGATGTGTGTCGGTGGATTCGTCGGTGTGTTTGTCCCATTTACAATTCACACTATTTACAGAATTTAGGAGATTAATCACTGCTCGTTATCATCATTATATTTTTCATTTACGAGGAAAATACTTGATTGACAAGTTGTTCAAGCCTAAAAGCAACATTATATTGTCATCTTCAAATTTCTTATTAAAAAATTGTGTTACTATATTAATTTTATTTGATTTTTTCCCTTGACATTTACTGTTAATTGTGCTACATTATTATTTAACAAAATCTTTTTTATCTTTAAAAAACAAGTGAAGGGAAATTATAAAACAGCATGTGGTAAGATGGTTTTTATTTACTTAAAGCCAAGGAGCACATTCCCAGAAAAGAAGGAGGATGATCCGTTAATTTTACAGCATGGGGGGTCACCTGGAAATTGCAGAACAATCCTAATGGAATTTAGATAACACATTCTTTATCTCTTAGAAACTATGGAGTACTTTATTCCAGCAGTCTAGCATAATTGATCATTAACTTTAGATAATTAGAGCATACGAAATTAGGTCTTCTGAGGAAATCTAGTTCAGACACTAGAAAAAGTGTGTGTTTTATTACGGAGTGATGTACTATCGCTGATCTAGAAATATTGTTTCTATCTTTAGTAGCTTTACAATTCGTCAATGCGATAAAGATGCAAAATATATATATCATCATGCACACACATTTCACACTCATTACATTATAAAAATTCACATTAAAATGCTTAGTTTTTTGGTTTTTATTTTTATTTTTCATAAAAGGTTAGCAAGAACTGCCGCAACTCATGGTATTGCAACATAACATCTTAATTTCAAATATATAGGTATATATATATAAAAAAAAGATATTGGTTTAAAAATAAATATATATATATACACTGTATAATGAAAATGGTGAAGATAACAGTGATTGATCAAAAAATTCTACAAACAATCCACATTTGTAAACATGGCATAAAGTTCTACGTGACAGTTTATGACATCCTTTTATAAACTTTCATGGAAAATAAAAATCAAATTTACTCCACGTTAATTTCAAATACCATAAATACATGTAGTTCCTTTAAATTTGATAGCTAGATTGCTAACAAATTAAGTCATTTTCCGATAAAACGCTGCAACGTGCTACGAATTAGACAGTTCTTGGAAATTAAAAAAAAAACATAAGGGAAATTAGAAAAGTTGAGAAACATATAAATTTTCAAAAGGTGACAGGTAGGTGTGATTCTAACTGAGAGATTTTAAACACAGGCGACTTAGACATTGTTTTCTTCCTTTATTCAGATAAGACTGTCATGGACAAATTCAGGACATTATTAAGGAAAATTAGCAAAGCTATAATAATATTTCCTTTGAATTATAATTGTCATACTTTTTCTTTAATCCACAAGGAAATGAGGTTATATGTCGAAGACAGGCCCGTAGCAAGGGGAAAAGGGAGCAGGGACTGTCTAATTTTTCCAAGATGTCTTTAATTTTGATTTTAAATCTTAAATTTAAATTAGATGGAAAGTTTACTTAAAGACCTGTCCCCCTTTTTGCCTTTTGTTGAAAAGACTGAGGATCCCTATTGGGTTTTCAACTTATGGCAATTTCTCTTGCTTGACAAAGTTTTTAAGACACTTAAAAAATTTTGCTTCTCGTTTATTTTCTGACTCCTCCCGCGCCCCATCCCTGCACAAAGACGGAAATACTTGAAAAATGATAACTATTAAATTATTGTGGCTGAGAGAGAGAGAGAGAGAGAGAGAGATGTTCCACCTACCGCAATATATACTTCCTAAAAGCCTCCAGATTTATTTTCAAATAGAAATAATTCTCGATATAATTTTGCACCAACATTGCTACATGTTATCGTACTCCTATTTCAGCGATTGCTAATTTTTCTGCTTTACTTCCAAAAAAACATGAAAAACAATATCAAATGTCGATAGTCTACACAGAAAAAAAAAATCCCATGCTGGTTTATAATGGCTAAGCATTTCTGTGGGGTCTTCTTCAAACATTCATTGGGAGTTTATCATCTATTATTTAAACAAATATTTGCCAATTAACCCCTTCTAGAATGCTAATAAAACAGTATTAGGTATGATATATATGTTGCAACAGTAAGGTTATCTATTCAATTGAAAACTACACTATGAAAATTTAAGTCAATATAGAAAAAAAAACTTTGATGTTGTTAAAAGAACTTAACATTAGATAAAAGCACCTCCAGTAGATTTATGAATAAATTCTGGAAAAAAACAAACAACAGTTTTTACCTTAAGTCGATCATCAATAAATCCAGAACAATGGTACTTTCCAAACTGTTACTTTGTCACAAATCGTTACAACTCAAATGCAGATTGCAGAGAGCACTGGTGCACGTCCTACGTAATCGCGACTCCTATATGTACAAAGCCGGCGATAATTACTTCTGATTGACTAAATTATCCTAGTTCTGATGTTGGAATTTCCAATTATTACAATGCACTGCAACTAAAAAATCAGAATCAATAAAATCCATTTACAGCTATTTGTCTATTTTGTTTATAAATTCTGCAAAGAATCAGTGTTTAATTTACCACCACAGTAAGAAAAATGAACATATCCACACGACAAAATAAATCATTACAGAGGATTTAAAACAAAAAAATAAAATGTGAGTCCTTCATAATTATTTCAATATAAAAATTGTTATCAGTTTGTAAAAAAAAAAATCTAGGCGCTATGCACTGTCCTTAGACACTTGGTCTGTTTACCTGGATCCAGGATATGCACAGATTATGCTCTCTTTGTTTCCTTGTTGGATCATTCAGTCTACTCAGCAGCGGATAAATATACCGGAGTCCTTGTAGGAAGTGATTTAAAACAGCGGTGGTGTACCGCGGGACAAGTCGCGCGCACTATCGATTGCAGCAGACGAGAATAGCTGCACACGGTAAGATCTGCTCGAACAGAGGAATCAACATACGAATATCTTCCTTAACGATTGACAAATATTTCACACTTACACTGACACTGGACAGTAATTATATCGACAGATAATAAAATCTTCGTAAAAGAACATCATTAAGATAATCACAAACGATTTCTTACACCATTATGGAGTTCATGTTTTGCTTGAGTTGAATAATTTCGGCAGAACGTCTGCAGCCTCAAGTATGCAATAGAGCGATGTATATTCGGCACGTTTTTCAGGTATAGCTCAAAAGGGTTAGGCTCAAAAGGGTTAGGAAATGAATTGTTTGGGACAATGAAGTCAAATAACTACTATTTAATAATTCATTGCAGTTCTCAACAAATCAATATTAGACGTTTATTTTGTATACATTGTATTAATCTTGATAAAGCTTTGTTAATATGAAATAATTGTTTCATTGTCTTCTGTTTACAAAAGTGTTAGCAATTATTTGAACATATTTTATTGTGATACACAAATGATTGAAAACAAGTTCTGATAATTTACCAGTTCCTCTTCTGGTGTAAGTTAAGTTAATACGGTTAATACAATTTTCATAATAAATACATTTACATAGTAAATATTATTGGCGAATGGTATCAATAAAATTGAAGTATTTATTAAATCTGCAAGATTGTTCTATAAATATATGGACTTCTGAAAAAAAGAAATAAAGCACTCTATAAGACAAAGTGTCACTAGTCTAAAACAACAGACTACTATAATCTTGTCTTGAAATGTTTGTAAAATAGCACTATCAAATCATAGTTTGAATAGGTTATAAGTATAATATAACTATTTATTGACCTGGCAAGTCATAGTTAAACTCTAAATTTGAAAATAAGCAGACACTTTGACAACCATTTTCTGTTTTTACTTATATATATATATATATATATATATATATATATATATATATATATATATATATATATATATATATATATATATATATATATATATATATATATATATATATATATATATATATATTATTTGCCAGCTATCTGATTAGCTCAAATTAGATCATTTGATCAAGTATCAAAAGTCATATAAACTGGGTATTTCTATTTTAAGTTTCTAAAAAATTATAAACCTGCTTTTTCTAATATTGGAAACTCTCGTCTGTGAAGCAAGAATAGTGCTGACATTACAATAAACTGGATGTTTCTAAAAACAAATACTGCAACTGCTATTCGTTACTGTGACGTCATAATGCGAATGAATAACAATACCTTCTTTGAGAAAGTATTGAGTATTAGAAACATGCATTTTAAGACAATTCTTATTAACTGATAAAAAAAAAATAAAACAATTGTAGCCTTTTAATTCGATACATACCCTAGATATATAGACCTTAGAGAAAGCATATCGACCTCAGACTTCGTGCTCGGTCGATATGCTTTCTCTAAGGTTTATATATCTAGGATCTAGGGATTGACCTCATCAAAAGGCTATAATTGTATATGATATAATTTTCATACATTGTAACGAAATTTGTCATTGGTTCGTTTATAATCACGTGTCAAGGTATATAAATGCAGATAGACCTGGACTCTCTAATTATAAACTTTAAAAACTCGGATAGACCCGGACTTTCTAAAAACTTTCTTTTTTCAAATTAATTTTGTTTTGTTAATCTCTTTAAAAAATAATATAACAAATGTAACCCTACAAGTTGACTATTGAATCCTATGTATTTCCATAAATATTTGTATTTTTAATGTTGAAAACCAATTAACACGTAATCCGGAACTCTGTGAAACATGTTCTGATCAAAGGGGTTTTTACAGTTATTTTAAATCGAGTTTATTTACGAAATAAAGCATCGACCGAATTGTTTTGATCAGTAATATATACTTTAATGATATTTCATACAACCCTTGCAGAATGCCTTCGAGGACTATTATTTTTATTCTGTTAATCCTTCAAATAATTATTTATCAAGAGAAAAAGTTTACCAAATCTGGTTGACCTAAATGATTCTTAGTACAGCTGTGTCATAAATAACTAGTTGTTTTCGGTCAAAATTGTTTTAACGTAATATGAATCCAAAAAGCTTTCAGCATAAAAACAATATGGTCGACACTCTGTCAAAAGAACCAGAAACAAACAGAACGCTAAAATGAATAGATAAAGTGAAACTCGGAGGAAATTATCAGGATATGGCATTTTTTCTAGGAGAGTGGAGTTATGAGGGAACTTTTTATCAATAGAAACTATGACTTTTTTATGGTTGAAAAGTATAAAAAGCATATTGAAAAATCCTAAATGTATATCTGAGGTAATTTTAAAGTAAAATAAGATTAGTTGATACGATATACAACTTTCGTTTGATTGTCCACCTGTGTTCGTATTTTGTTTTTCTCTTAAAAAAAATAAAAATAAATAAATAAATAAATAAATAAACAAACAAACGAAAAACATTTCAAAAATCTTTGAAATCATAGAAACAAATTATGCAAGACACTCCTTTGTGTAGGGAATATATTTTTTTCCCATGAAATGATGAATTATAAGAATGTTCTTTGAAACTAGTTTAGGAAAACTGCAGGGGAATTATGTTTTAAACGTGCTGTATGAATTATTCTTTTCAAGAATAGAAAGATAGAATATTGTCATATTAAAATGCAAGCATTATAAGTTATGTCGTTTCATTTTTTTTTTAAAGAATAATCATTTTGATACATCAGAAGATCAAAGCAAAAAAAAAAAAAAAAAAAAAAAAAAAAAATAATAATAATAAAGACATCTGGAGGTGACCAGTAAGAGAGTTTTCGAAGCACATGTTACTATTGAGAGAGTGTTCGAAGCACACGTAGTTTAAGAGTGTTTGAAGCACATGTAGTAAGAGTGTTCGAAGCGCATGTAGTTAGAGAGTGTTCGAAGCACATGTAGTTAGAGAGTGTTCGACGCAAATGTAGTGAGAAAGTGTTCGCACATGTAGTCAGAGAGTGTTCGAAGTACATGTTACCGAAGGCAATATTCCGATGTAAGGTACATTTTGCAAAAATGTATGGGCATATATTGTTGCCCGTGTCAATATGTGCTTATAGACGATAATTTGTGTAGTAAGGGTTGGTAAACAACAAAATATACCGTAAAATTGTTTAAATGTAAACTTACTTTATTAACAGTTTCAAAATAATCACCTGAACAGAATTCTTATGGGAGCCTTTAATGATTGTTGACAGGGAGACTAAGTAGCAAAGTCAAAAAAGCAAAAACAAACAAACAAACAAAAAAAAAAAACCCCAAACAAACAAAGAAAAAACACAAACAGAACACTAAACTAAAAAATAAAAGATTTTAAAAAAATGCCTTTTTTCCTGAGACATTGTAAGACAAGAGTTTACCTAAAAAAGAAAATAATAGCATAAATGCAAGCTGTTGGATTCGTTATTTTATCGGAGGCTAGGATATAAGGTGTCAATTTCGATCATGTAATAGTATTTTAAGTTAATACAAAGAGAAAAAATTACAAGGTGGCAATTAATGCAACGTGTGCTTTCAACTGTTATTTGTTCACAAAATGAATAAGAATTTTATATTTTATCATATTTTGTATGAAAATTAGTCATTATTTGTTTATTATGATAAAATCCATTCGCAACTTTTGAAATTTCAACATCCGTAGGGTAATATACACAGCTGTTGGGTTTGGTTTTGAAATAAGAGGATACTTGTTTACTACGACTTTCTGATGAGTTGCCAATAGGTGTTAAGACCATGATCAATTTCATGTCACATTTAATTTTGATCCTCACTTCACCTTTCTAAGGTTAACCCTCCCATGAGAAATGCTGCTATGCATGGCATGATCAGGCCAACATAAGCAGAACCGAATACTGAATACACCGTCTAACACCAACAACGTTGTACGTCGTTTTATTTTGAATTTGTTCAAATTACAACCCTCTATTGTTATTGTTGTGAAAGATGGAGCATAACGTTAATAAGCGGTATCTGACGAACATTGATGTCAATGTCCTATATTAAATGGATTAAAAGTTACAGCTGCTAAATGTTTGACAGGAACTAAAGCAACAGAGGAATCACTTCGGGATCCGGTTCCTTTCAGGAACAAAACAACTAGGTGAATTAATGGAATGGTTCCCATAAAGAATATTTTCATTTCTTAGAAGAAATGAAATATATATGACGTGAAAATAATAATGAAAATATGTATGAATAAACCAAAAAAGCTTGAATTAAGTAAACTTCCTTATGTTTTGAAATGATCACAAAACATAAGGAATTCAGTTGATCTGGAAAAAAGTCAAATGTTGTAATTTTCCTATCTATATTAAACGACATATACAATTTATAGATTAAATATAAAGATAACAAACAGTGATCATTCTCTGATGTCCATTAAAGCAATACAAATTATGAGCAGAACCAAAACGGGCATCTGAAAACAATGATAGGATCAGGGTCCAAGAGGGAATAAGTATCTCCTATCGACTGGTCACACCCTTCCTGTGCTCCCTCTCATAATTATATAAATGGAAAAATCTGTA